ATATATATATATATTTAATTATTAATGAAAATAAACATTATTTATGTAGCGAAGAAAATGTTACGATTTTTTGAGAGATGCCTAAACAGTCCAGCCTATTTCTAATATAAAACGCTTTTTTCTAATATAAATCGTCTCGGGAATCGGCCCGAAATGTGCAACTAATTCCGAGCGCTGTTTTACGAGATATTTGGTACTTTAATTTGACATAATTTTACATAAACTATGAAATATCTCGTTAAATATTCATTTTTCAATTATCTTTTCAATTATCATCTCAACACTTTTATGCACAAAATAATGAAAGGAATCAATTGGCGTAGAAAAAACACAGTTGTCTCAGAAAAAAATATGATATATTTCAGCTATATATTTTTTCTGAGATATTTGACTGTCAAAAATACAATGGAACATCCTGTATATGATAATCATTTCGTAATAATCACTTCATCTTGCATGGAAAGCCAGAAACACGAATGAATAGTTAGTCATGACATTGCTAATGTTCACTGGACGCAGTCACTGGAGCAAGCGTGTTTGCAGCACCGTGATAAACAATTTGAGCAATACCTGTGCACAGGAGAACATTCTACCGAGCGTCAATGTGGTAATTGTAATGGTAATGTGATTTTATATGAATAAGTCACGAATAAACTTTTTTGCTTACACTGTAAAAAATTACTGACTGACAATTCAGACAAAAGTGTTTGAAGTTTTACTTACAGTCACATTGTCTGAATTTTCGGACAGAATATTGTCTGAATTTCTAGCCACAGTTATCTGAATTTCTAGTCACAGTTGTCTGAATTTCTAGCCACAGTTGTCTGAATTTCTAGCCACAGTTGTCTGAATTTCTGGTCACAGTTGTCTGAATTTCTAGCTGCAGTTGTCTGAATTTCTAGCTACAGTTGTCTGAATTTCTAGCTACAGTTGTCTGAATATTTCTGATCTCAATGCCTGAATATTCAAACACTTTTGTCAGAATTTAGATGTGGTTTTTTAAAATACTAACAATATATTTTGGTTTAAAGTATACTCAATGATGCGATGTTTCCTACTGGGCTCCTGACTCCCGAGCCCGGTAGGAAACATCGCATCACTGAGTATACTTTAAACTAAAATATATTGTTAGTATTCTAAAAAAATCACACTTATCCAAACTTGTTTTTCACTGGTATACATATATTTCATTAAAAACACAAACACCACGTGATCATAAAACTTTTCGGATGTAAGACTGATGATAGAGAACGAGATGTAAGTCGTAGTCGTGGACGTATGGTAAGGCAGAGAAAAACGTAAGTCGTGAAACGTATTCACACAATAACTTTTCACGACTTACGTTTTTCTCTGTCTTACCATACGTCCACGCTACGACTTACATCTCGTTCTCTGCTATCAACCTAACTAATATTCCGTAATGGATTCCACGACGCGACGTCAGTTGAGACTGCTTCAACTGCATTTGTTACACTGCTACTGCGTCTTCGCTACTGCACGGACATCCACGCATCGGGTTATAAAACCACAGCATGTCTGAAATTTTAGACAGATGCTGCTTTCAAATATGTTGTCTAATTTTTTGGACACCAATTCTAAATTTTTCGGACAGACGCGCCACTATTCTGAACTTTCAGAGAAACTACTCTGATAATTAAGACAGATTATCTGAAATTACTTTCAGGCACCCAGATCTGAAAATTCAGACAAAAATGTGTCTGAATTTTTAGGCAATTTTTTACAGTGTAGAATGACCATGCGAACACGCTGGCAACGTTTGTTGGTTTCGCGACGGGACACCTTGTATATATGCATATATTTATGAAATAACATGAAAATTTAATTGCTGGACAAGTTAAAGAGTAAAATAAGAGAAACTTGTGTGAAAGGTATATGCCAAAATTATTTGAGGCAGAAAGTGATCTTTCTTATCAAGTGTAAAAATATAGACTGCAAGTCCACGAGAGTGGATTACATTTTACGACATACTGTTAAATATGTTTATAAACTTTTATTCTACATATTTTTATTATATTTACTCTTACCGTTTTCGAACTGCATATATATTTTACGTTAAGTAATTTTATACATTAGGATTCCGTTTATACATACACACACATACACACACACAAATACACACAAACATAAAGAAAGAGAGAGCGAGAGAGAGAGAGAGAGAGAGAGGGAGGGGAGGGAGAGAGACTGAGAGAGAGAGAGAGAGAGAGAGAGTTTAAAGTTGTAAATCTATTATTTTTAATAGAAAGAATGAAAGATCAAAAGATGATTATATTTTTATTTGGCACACTTTTATAATATGAATCATCATATATCCATATTTATATTTTAAATTATTATTACTATTGCCATTTTAATTATTCTGCTCAAGTCATCATTTATTCATTTAATATACAAAAGCAGGAAAATCTTCCTGCTTGCTGTTGTTGAATGTATGCTATACGTACAATTGCATTTATTATTAAGGGAGAAATAAATATTTGGACGGAAATAAATTTATTTTGCAATTAAATATGTAGAGACCCAAGAATGTTTTGAGATTTGCAGAAAATATCCTGTATAGCTTTTTATCTATCTTTTTTTTAAAAAGCTTTTGATATGTTCTCTTCAAAATGATTTCTTTGTCGTGAACGTAATCAAAGTTGTTTTTGTAACTGGTACTCATTTCTTTTCACGAGATATGGAAGAAACTAGTATGTTACAAAAATGGGAATTGTTTTTTGAAGATCTTAAAATTCTCTTAAATCTCCATATGTATTCCTTTTTTTCTCTTTTTTGGTACACGATATAAAATGTGTGCAAATTGAAGAATATTTAATTAAAAATTTTGAAGACAGTAAACATAGATTAGAATATTAACTATCTCGAATTAATATTAACAGAAGTAATAATATAATGATGATATAAAATAAGAAACATTCTTTGATGAGAAAATACCTAATTTGCATTCGCAACATAGAAAAATAATTAATTTAAATTATAAACACTAATATATGTTTAATAAAACTAATCTTCTAAAGCTAATCTTTTTAATTTAGAGTATTTTACTTCATAATTTATTATAGAATTAATAATATATATTAATAATTTAATACATATAATATGCTATACATAAATATACTATCTGTATCTGTATTTATTTTTAACTTTAATACTTTATGTATTAATTTGTAGAAATGAAACTAAATTGTATAGATATATTGTATAAATATATATAAATATTATGTTTATGCTAATATACATATGTATGTAACCATATATGTATATGTGTATGTATATATACAGGGTGTCTGGCAATAATCGCCCCACCGGTCATATACAGGTAGAGGAGGTCAAATCGAGTAGAAAAGTCCTTTACCATTTTTTGATTTTTGTAATAAGTACTAAGTAATTAACGAAAAAAGATTGGTGAATCCGTGCAAGTAAAGCGCGCGCAGCGAGAAGGACATCCCACTGCTATGCGATCACTAGGCGCGCGATGAAGTGTTGGGAGGAGCGCTCTACAAATGACAATGGCAACATACGAGCG